GTTAAGAAAATGTGATGATTACGGGATTGAAAAACTTGATGTTTTTCATCTGCCTAACCTAAATTATTTTCCTTAGAAACTGTTTATATCTCTCCCCTGTATTATGAACAGAAAAAAGGCTTTCTATTCACCATTGTATCTCAAGGGCCTAGTACTCTTTCTGGCACAAAATAAGTATCTCAGCAAATAATGATTGATTGAATGAATAAAAGCCTATGAGAGCTTTACAAAATATCACATTCAAAGATACTTTGGGCATAGATATATTTGGGAAAGCCCAAAATATATCAGCACACAGTGTTTTTCACAATAATACTCAGAAAATTCTATCAAACTGTTTCTATTCTTTTCTTTTCTTTGAGACAGATTCTCACTCTGTTGCCCAGGCTGCAGTGCAATGGCATGATCTAGGTTCACTGTAATCTCTGCTTCCCAAGTTCAAGCAATTCTCCTGCCTCAGCCACCTGAGTAGCTGAGATTACCGGTGCACGCCACCATGCCTGGCTAATTTTTGCAATTTTAGTAGAGACGGGGTTTCACCATGTTGGCCAGGCTAGTCTCAAACTCCTGACCTCAGGTGAACTGCCTGCACCTGCCTCCCAAAGTGCTGGGATTACAGGCATGAGCCACTGCACTTGGCCACACTGTTTTTTTTTTTTTTTTTTGGTCACATGAAATTGCATCTATTCCTCCATTTACCTGCCCCACTCCCCAGCAGGGTATGCTAGTACTGAAGGGCCCTGGCAGGTCCTAAAAGAATGTCCCTGCTTTTAATGCCATCTAAAACAGAGGAGCAAATGCCCTAGGAATGAAACTCAACCATTAGTACAGTTTTTAGGAGCTAAAATGTCACTGATTATTTAAAAAGTCTTATGTTCTTTAATTTCCAAAAAACTAAATTTTCTCAAATTTTCTCCTTCAAAGCTATACAATATTTTAAAAATAAGTTTGCAAATCAACTTTTATTTTCACCAGACAATTATTTCCATCAATACCTTTAAAATCATTATCATGAACTAAAAGTCATCCCTTACATATCCGAAGTACAATGGCATGATTTGAAGTAATATATGTCCTTTTATAATTGAACAAGTGTCTTTAAATACAATTTGGACCTTGCCCATGAGATGTGTAAATTTTTAGAATAGTAACCTAATGGGATTTAAAATTCCCTAAGGATGATATATTGTGGGTCTTCAATAGTGTACTTATGATTATTAAAGTCAAAAATTCTGAAAAACCATGTTTTCTCATTTGGTTTTGAAACTTGATTTGAACTTATTTTATGGCATAAACTAAATGTGAGGCTCTTTTGGCCTTTATCTCATTAATATGAATGTTTACATATTAAGCTGTGGAAATATTAATCTGTTTGAACATAAATGCTGCCCAAACCTTCTGGGGTGCTAATTAATGCAAGGTAAATAGGCTGTTTTACCTCCATAAAATTAGAAAAATTTTGCATTCTGAAATACATTGGTCCCATGGGTATCAGGCTGTGGCCCTATGTTACCATTAGGTTTATTTTGGGAAGTCTTATTAATGAGAGAATCATGTGTGGCAGTTTCCAAATATACATTTATAATAAGGGCTGGGTCTAAATGTGACTAAGATTGGAGCTAGTTGTGCCATTCTGGATTATTTTCTAGAAGTTTTCTATGTATTAAGTGAATGGTGTACCTGTGTTGAGCCTGTTCTGAAAGTATATTTTATGCTGCACAAACAAAAAAGTGAAGAGATAAGTTCAAAGATGTGTCCAACATTTATTGGCTTCTGGGCTGAATTAACTGAATTAAAGTTTACAGTTGATTGTAATTATAGCAATGCTGCATCTTTGTTTACATATTTTTCCTTATTGTAGATAGAGTTTGCTAGTCCATGTCCTCATGAGATAACCCATCCACTGCAATGTTTTTTCGTTTTTCTTTTTGGAGATGGAGTCTCACTCTGTTGCCCAGGCTGGAGTGCAGTGGTATGATCTCAGCTTACTGCAACCTCTACCTCCTAAGTTCAAGAGATTCTTCTGCCTCAGCCTCCCGAGTAGCTGGGACTACAGGCATGTGCCACCACACCCAGCAAATTTGTTTTGCATTTTTAGTAAAGATGGCTTTTTGCCATATTGGCCAGGCTAATCTCGAACTCCTGACCTCAGGTGATCCATCTGCCTTGGCCCTCCAAAGTGCTAGGATTACAGGCATGAGCCATTATGCTGGGCCCAGTGCTTTTACTTGTACCAAGATTGTCACTGGCAAGAGAAGAAAGATTAGAATATTTCAGACTCAACCTAGAGAACTCTTCATGACATCATGCTTAAAGGGTGGCAAGGAAGAGAAAGAGGAAGAGAACTAATATAACTCAGCATCTCCAATGGGACATGCACTTTGTCTTATCTGCTGCTACCAATGTAACCATTTAAAGAAAGAATCATTATCGTTAGTTTACATCTAAAGGAAATGGAGGTTCAGGAATATTGCATAACTTGACCAATTTCCCAGAGCCATAAATAAGCTAGAGTGCCTGGACTGGAATCCATGTCTGTATAACTGCAGAGCCCATGCTCTTCTGAAAGCTGATGCAGCCCTCCCTAGAGAGGAAAAGCATCCCAAAGCCAGAAATAACAGAAAATATCAAAACAGAGAGATACTTGTCACTAAAACTTAACTAACCATTTTCATCCTTTGCTAAGGATGTAATTTTCTGGAAACTGAAAGACATGAAGACTTTTTAGGACACCTACCTTGTCAACCATAAGTGTGGCTCTTGACAACCTCTCTCCACAATATCAGACCCTCCTTTCCTGCCTCTTTGTAAAGCAAGACTCATATAAAACAGAAACTTGGGGAGAGGAAATGTGATGTGCCAAGTCCAGCGCATTTTGAAACAGAATGTGGGAAACACATGCCTAGGGTTTCCTCAAGAGTTTATATTATGAAGTGTTTATATTTTAGTCATTGTTTTCTGGACTTGTTAAATAACAATCAAGCTATAGCTGTCCTAGGAAGATGGGATGGCCACAAGAGAGTCAAATGCCAGAAAAAAGAAAGTTACAAGTATCATCTGTTTTAGTTTTCTTGCTCTGCAATTCATGTGGAAATGTGCCTCATGCCAAGAAAAACAAATTATAAAAACGTTGCCCCTTAATTAGCAACTCAAGGAGATAGGTTTGTGCATAACCTTCCCTCCCTTCCCCTGCCACCCAATACACCAACACATCCCCTCAGATATACACTGCAACAGTTTCTCTTTAGTGCATAGGTTTTCAAAATTCATGACATCAGAATCATCACGACTTGTTAGAGTATAGGTTCCTGGACGTGACCCCTCATGTTTCTGATCCACTGAGTCTGGGGTGTGACCTAAGAGTTGATATTTTTAACAAATACCTAGGTGCTATGGTCTGAATGTTGGTGTGCCCTCAAAATACATATGTTGAAGCCACATCCCCAGGGTAATAGTGTTAATAGGTGGAGTCCTTAGGAGGTAATCAGGGCTCTACCCTCATAAATGGAGTCAGTGCCCTTATAAAAGAGGCCAGAGGGAGCTTCTTTGCTCCTTGCACTCTGCAAGGACACAGCAAGAAGCCGTCACCTATGAATTAAAAACTGATTCCTCACCAGACACGAAATCTGCTGGTGACTATCTTGGACTTCCCAGCCTCTAGAACTGTTAAGAAATACATTTATCTTGTATATAAACCACCTATTTTTGTTATAAGCTCAAACAGACTAAGTCACCAGGTTGTGCTGATGTTACTAGTGTGGGAATCACACTTTGTGGACAACTGCTTTGGTGAGTAGTGTTTAACTTGTATTGCACTGAGCCTCAGAGCAGCAATTCTAGACTGGTAATGAGCATCTGAATCACCTGGCAGCCTGTGAATGTGCAGTTTTTCCCTTCTTGATTCTTGACCCTGGCTAAACATTAGTATTATCAGGGGTGATAAACATGCTCTGATCCACCACAGAAAAAAAGGAGTCAAAATCTTTGAAGATGGGACTTAGGAAGGGTATTTTTTTTAAGGCTTATCCAAGGATCTTAATACCCATAGAGGAATCATCACCATTGTAGGTCACTTCTGAAAGCACATGAGTGTCCATGGGGGTGTGTATTGAGAAACATGTCCAAGCAATTCTCATGCAATTTGAGAAACAGTGCTTTGGGCTGAGACCCAAACCTTCCTCAAAGGCTTATCGCCTCCTCCCATGACCCCAAGGCCCACACTTTCACATGCAATCTTAGGCTTTGCATTTACTCTTCCCTGTCTAGAAAGCTCATTTTCTCTTCTCATGCAGTGAAATCCTTCATGTCCTTTAATACGGTGCTCAGGGAGCAAGAAATTTAAAAAAAAAAAAAGTTTATGCTAATTTTTTTCTTTTGTCTTTTCAACTTTTATTTTAGGCTCCAAGGGTACATGTGCAGGTTTGTTACACGAGTAAATTGCATGTCATGGGGATTTGGTATGTACATAATTTTGTCATCCAGGTAATCAGCATAATACCTGATAGGTAGTTTTTCAATCCTTACCCTCCTCCCACCTTCCATCCTAAAATAGGCCCCAATGCCTATTGTTCCCTTCTTTGTGTTCATGTGTACTCAATGTTTAGCTGGCACTTATAAGTGACAATGTGCAGTATTTGGTTTGCTGTCTCTGCATTAATTTGCTCAGGATAATGGCTTCCAGCTCTACTTGATGTTGCTGCAAAAGCCAATGATCTTATTCTTTTTTATGGCTGCATAGTACTCCATTTTATATATATATATACACTTTGATATATATATCATAGTGTATATATATATAATAGTATAGTATATATAGTATATATATCATAGTATAGTGTATATATCATATATATATCATATATATGATATATATATAATCATAGTATATATATAATATATATCACATATTAAATATCATAGTGTGCATATATATATATATATATCATATATACTATGGATATACTAAGTGGACTGGATAAAGGAAATGTGATTATCATATTTCCTTTATCCAGTCCACTTTTCATGGGCATCTAGGTTAATTTACTGTCTTTGCTACTGTGAATAAATAGTACTACAATGAACATACATGTGCATGTGTCTTTATAGTAGAATGATTTATATTCCTTTCAGTATATGTCTAGTAATTGGATTGCTGCACCTCCCTGGGCACGATGACACCGCCTCTTCTCCTTTACCTTTGCACTGACTGTACCACATAGCAGAGTTTCTTTCCACCTCTCCGTAGATCCTTCCCACTGAGAGCTAAATTCTGAATGGGGGAGGATCATTTCAGTTATTAGTTTACCTACCCTTACTGAATATAATTTTTCACAATATATGGTGGTTAAGAAGATTAAATAAATTGATATTAATTAAATCCTACAAATAGGAAAACAATCCTATTTTCTTTTTAAAATGTGAAGCAAGAAATATGGCTTTCTAGGATAGGGTAAGAAATCTTATTCAGATGAAAGAAATGACCTATATTAATAAATATAATCAGCAATAGGACATGGAATAATCACAAGAAAAACCTGATTATTGTTTTCTTGCCTCAAATGAGGCCTGCTCAAACAATATAAAGCCATTGCATAAAAAGGTATTATAAAAAAGCTACACTTGAATGCCAGTTGCTTTAAATCTTCTCATTGAAGTTTACTCTGAATTTTTAGTTTGTGTTTTCTGAGAGAGTAACCATATGTCCAAACAATTGTTGTTTTGACTGTGTGAAATTCCTTCATACATTCCAAGGAGCGATTGCAAAATACTGAAGTGGCAGGTGGGAACCTAGGCTGATGCTGTTGATCCCTTTGAAAACACTTACCCAGTATCAAACACCTTGGGACAAACTGCAGGCATCACCAGCCTTCAGAACAATTACACATCAGATTTTACCTTATTATAACAGTGTGACGCTATCTTGCTTGGAAACTTATATTATTACCCCTTATATTGCTGAGTTTGTTTGTAGTTTGTTATAGCAAAGCACAAGTCTCTGAGCTTGGGCTAGAAGATGTGGTGAGATATGTTTTGTTGTTCTTCAGAGTCTGGAATGCCCTCTGTGCATAGTACAGCATCTAGTAATTTATTATGTATTTCTCAATCTGTCATAAAAGGCAAAGCTTTACACAAATTATATAATCTGTATCTGGCTAGGAAGAGTCATAAATAAAAAGTAATACCCTCTCTCTGGTATAAAAATAGAATAGTATAAAATAATACTCTATATCTGGATAGGAAAAAAAAAGAATACCAAGGAAAAAGGAAAACAAATGTCTTGCTTAGTTCTGTGAGTTTTAAAAAATAACATATATTATATAATATAAGCATATGCCTGTTTCCTGCTTCGATAGACTTGAACATTTCCATATTCCTATATGTGGTTTTATTGTCATGCTATTACATACAAACTGTTGAACTAGAATCTGCTGTCAATCCACACTCCTTTGGAAGACTGTATCACAGGCCATTATTTAACTTTCAAGTGAACAGATGCTCATCTGTTTTGGAATTACACTAAAGGTTTTGGACTTTAGTATAAACACTGGACTACAGTGTGTAAGATCAAATGCAAAAATTATCTTTAGACTTTGGAGATAAAAAGTCTCTATTGAGGAAGATTGATACTTTTTCCAGAAAGATAGACTCAAACATGAAATTTTCCTAGTAACATGAAATCAAACATGGAATTTTCTTAGAAACATGGAATCAAAAAATGGAATTTTCAAGGCAAAACCTGAAAATTGCTTGAGAGTATCTCAATCAGGAAGAGCAGGAAGTGCTTTGGCCTCTGACTCTTAGTGTTGCCACCTTCTTGACGTTGCTTAACCAGGTACTGTCTAGACCTGTAGTGACTCTCTTCTATCTAGTACCTATGTCCATGGTATGTATGATTATTTGGGTTTCACTTTAAAGTATCCCTTTTAAACATAATCTGATTATGGACAGATAAAAACAATTCAGTGAGAATTGCACTGTCTACTTAAGGCCCAATATACAAATATATGGCAGATTCACTTTTCATTTTTGTGGCTATCTACTGGGTGTTCCTATTCTGTGTCCTATACCATACACCTCTTCTGTTTCTTCCAAAAAGTTGAAGCGTTCCTGGAAATCCAGCTATACTTAGTTTCAAAACTAAGTATAGCTTTGAAACCATTCTACTTAAATGGTTTAATAATATACATCATCCTGCTCCATTTTCCAGTGTGTGAGAAAGCAGTTCATTTTAAAGAAGTACTTCATTCTAGAAGTTCCATGTTTTCATCCAGAAATGGAATAATGGATCAGGGTATGTCAGGGAAAAAAAATCCAATAGCCCAACTCAAGGTACAGCTAGTTTTAGAGCATAATGCTGGCTCTATTCATTTTACTCAGGCCCTAGGATTGGCCCTTCTGTGGACAGACTTGGTGGATGACTGTGCCTTCTTGTGACATTTGGAGGAAACATTTCTTTCCTCTCTGACATCTTCTCCAGTCATGCGGCCTGATTTTTTTCTAGTCCATAAGTCAATTCTATGATTATACCATGAGAGTTGCTGGATGCTCATTCTATGATAAGTGATTTTACTGATGATTTCCTACTAAAAATACTGTAAGATAGGTATTATTATTATTTCAATATTACATTTGGAAGAAATGAGTCAGAAAGAAATGTAATATATTTTCTTTTGCTCTACAGCTACTAAGGAATGATAGTAGATTTTAAGTTCTCAAGTTTCTGATTCTGAAATCCATGCCAGTTCTTAAACCACAGATTCTAAAATTTGAGCATGTGTAAGAATCACCAGTGGCAGGTGGGAATCAAGAAGTTGATTTAGCCCATTTGATGAATCAAAAAGTTGATTTAGGCTAAAGACCAGCAACTAAAAAAGGAAAGAAAGAAAGAAAATGTCATAGTAACTCCTTTGATAGTAAACACTAAAGCTTTTTGTGTAACTGTGATTTCAGTTGTATAGGCATGTTCCAGGATGCAAACTAAAGTAGGCTTTTTTTTTTCTTACTATTGATCATGTTTGAAAAGTTTAAAAACCAATTGTCTGGGTATTTTGTTAAAAGTATATATTTTGGTGCCTCTCTCTGTGAGGTTCTCAATCCAAATATACATTTTAGACAATTTTGGTGGTTCTTATGCTGGTTTCTTGAATAGCACTTTGATAAAATTTGGCTTAAACTATACAATCAAAATGGAAATTGCTCTTCCTCCGTTTCTGCACATACCACGTTCATTTTAGCACTTCTGACATTGAAGTCATATTGTCAGTAGGTTTTTTAAGGCTAGAATTTTCCTTCATATTTTCATTTTGGTGCCCAGTCATGTGCAGGCACATAGTAAGTACTTAATAAATGGCTATTGACTATTTTCTCAGTTTTCCTTAATTGACTAGCATTTTCTTTTCTTTTTTGAAAAAATTTATGTTCAGGGTACATATGCACGTTTGTTATGTGGGTAAGCGCATGTTGTGGGAGCTTGTCACACAGATTATTTCTTCACCCAGTTTGAGGCTTAATATTTGTAATAACGATTTTTTTAAAAATTAAAAGCACACTGAGACACTTAAGATATAAAAAACAAAATAAATTTTGTGCTTGACACAAGTAAGTTTTGAGAAATAATAATTATTTGGGTTTTCCTCTGATGTTTTATTCTTTGAAGCCTATGTATGTTTTGAATAGTTGATTAAAACCTAATGTGGAAACTCAGGTGATATTATGATTGTTGAGTTGGAGAGAGCTGGATAAATTTGAATCAACAGAATTTCTTATACAACAGTGAAAAATAATTTGAAGCAGAATAGATACATATACTTTAGTCATTTACATACTACATTCAGCTCATTGTTGTAAAATTAAAAAATATAATTTTTTAAGTTAAAATATCCAATATGATAACAAAATGCTTTTAGGAAAATTAGATTTTAGTATGGAGAGTGTTGAATAGCTAGTATTTTAAGAAAATGGGGCATGGCAATGGATGTTAATAATGATGATAATTCAATTAATTATTGTTTCTGGACAGGGCCTGAAATGTGGGGATTGCTGATTGGTTGAGAAGTGAAGGTCGAAGTCAGGAGGACAGAGAGATGAAGAAACCTCATTTTTGTGCTGAGTCGGTGAGCTGGTGCCTTAGTAGGGGTCTTCAGGCTGGTTGGTGTCAGCCATCCTGCTGGAATTCAGGATCTGAAAATCTCCTTAAGAAATTCTTAAACACAAAGGTCTTATGATTTTAGTCAGGTATTCTGTGTATAAAAACAATGGGGTAGTGTGTAGCGGGGGGCAGGATGCTACCTGACTCTTGGTTTGTCGTTAACTTTCTTATTGGGATGATCAAGTCTCCAGAAGATGATTGATTGCGGACTTGAGAATGCCTCCATTTAGGCAATGGAAATGGAAGTAGGGTAAGAAGAGACTCAGGTGTTCTCAGAGTCAAGAGAAGAGCCTGGAGAGGAAGTGTTTTGGAGAGAAGGTAAATGTTGAAGAGGTGGCACTCCAGAGAATGGCAGCTGAGCACAGACCTGTGGGTTACGCAGCTAAGGAGTCATTAAGGACTTCAATGGAATAGAGCAGTAGAGCTGGAGGCATGGAATTCAGGTTGCAATGCAAGGAAATAAAGTATGAGTGTTATTGAGGCAGCAAATACAGATCCATTTTTGTTTGTTATTTTGGAGATGGTGTCTTGCTCTGTCACCCAAGCTGGAGTAGGGTGGCACGATCTCGGCTCACTGCAACCTCCATCTCCTAGGCTCAAGCGATTCTTCTGCCTCAGCCTCCAGAGTAGCTGGGACCACAGGCACACGCCACCGCACCCGGCTAATTTTTTGTATTTTTAGTAGAGACGGGGTTGCCCAGGCTGATCTCGAGCTCCTGAGCTCAGGCAATCCGCCTGCCTCAGCCTCCCAAAGTGCTAGGATTACAGGCATGAGCCACTGCACCTGGCCACAAATGCAGGCCTTTTTTTGGAGAAGCTTAATGCATAAGAAAGGAGAGGAGTAGTATCTGTTACTATTAGCTGATCCTTACTAGGCACTGCAAAGCCCACTTGTAAAATTTTACTTCTCTGTTCTCTACTTGTATCCTATATCTCCAGGGAAATGAATGAAATTTGTTTATCTTACTGTGTCATAATTTTTTTTTTACTCATTCTATCTTTATTTATGCCCATCTCCCACATTAATCTATAAGCTTGCAGACAAGAATGCTGTATTACTTGGTTTTGTGTCCTCAGGACCTAACGCTGTTCTTAGGTAAACTGTGTTTAGTTTATGTCTGTTGAATAAAAGGATGGCTGGAGACGTCTTAGAAATCTGTCCACCCAATTTGCTGCAAATTGCATATCTTCAACTCCACCTCTCTGCATGATTTTTCTTCTTTGCTTATACCTATAAACTATTTCAAAATGCAACTGGCAATTCATTTCCTCCAGAAGTCTTTTCCCAATTAACCTACTGTAAACTAAACAGTACATTTGCATATCCTCAGTGCATAAATTAGTAGGTATGTATTTTCTTTGTATGAATTTAAATAGTGCTTAATAAAATTCTGTTTTGCAAGTATTTTTAGTTTATAATATGTATATAAATTTTCTGTCTACAAATATAACAATACTGTGCATGCTGAGTAAATGTTAACAGGCATGCATAAACTTTAAATACATTTGAATATACAAACATCACAGGTCAGTATCATAGATCTGCTATCTCTGTGACCCACTGGGCAGAAATTTTAATCAAAAACAATGCTTCACCAGTATTACTCTTTTGGATCACATAAAAGAGAATTTTATGAATTGATGACCTTCAAAATGTTGAAATAACACTCTAAGGATAATGTGTTTTGCAATTTATGTAAACATTCTGATTTGTCATTTGGCAAAAATTAAATGGCTAGTAGAAGTGTTCTAGTTATTTAATTGTGAAAGATATTGTTCTTCACTGTGATCATTGTTTGAATTTTATACATTGGTGAACTCAATCATCTCATTTTTATAAATCCTTAGCAGGTAAATTATTTGATTATGATTGGAAATTACAAGCTGAATCAGAAGTATTCAGGAGGACCCAGAAATTCCCATTGGAATGAGGATGCAAAACCTACATTGAAATTGTTGTACGTGTAAAAGGAACTAGAGAAGTAGAAAGAAACACCAAACTGATGTACTGTACAAATGGAGGTGTAGATTGTCTAACAGACTGTATTTTGTATACCTATTATGTTCAGGGCTTACACTGCTATAATATTATTTTCACCTGTCTGCTTCACCTAGTAAACTGAGAACTTCCTAAGAGCAGTGTCTATGTGTTATTCATCTTTTTCCATAATATCTAGCATAAGCCTGGCATAAAAAATGTCCTCAGTAAGTGTTCATAAAACCAAATTAAAAATGTACAACCACCAGACCAGGTATCTGTTACCCTTTATGCATCTTCACATTTATTTATGATAATGTCAATTTATATTTATTTACATAAAAAATGCTCGTCATGCCTTGTGGAAGGGGAAAAACAAGGTTCAAAACATTTTGAGAACCCCAGTTCACTTATATGAATGTATACCCATACATTTATAAGTTAAGAATGCATAGAGATATATCTGAAAGCATAGCTTACGTAGGATATCAGATGATTTTCATTTGTATATCCATAGTTTTTTATGCATTGCCTGAGTCACGGTGAGCTCAATTTAACTTTAAAAGAGTGAAGTCATCTTTCAGAATGTGGACAGAATACAAATTAAAGCTAAAAGCCTCAATCAGGTCCCAGACCTGCTCCTTACTAGCTGTGGCAAACTGCTTGTCTAAATCATAACTTAATCATATGTAAAAAGAGAAAACAAATAGATTTGACCTTTTAACACCCTTGACTATTTTGGGAAGCAACCTGAGAATGATGTTGGTGCAGAAACTCAGGCACGCATTACTTTTGTTTGCTTCTCCTTGCCTCCTGACGTTTTGTTTGTGTTCTGGCATCTTACATGGTGTTAAGACTTGGGGTTTGCTGCAGGGAAGGCAGGTGGTAGAGTCGATGGTTTGGGGTACACAGCTGTTATTGGTGGGTGTCCATTGTACTGCCCTGCATCGCCTCTTCAGGATCTAAAGACCTTTTTTGCTTCAGGACCACTTGTAGGGTACAAGGATGTTTTGCAAGACTGCCAATAGTCCTGTTGCCTATCCAGGCCACCATTTCTCTCTGTTCTGGCTCACAGGCACAATGTTGGGAGTCTGGGCTGGACACCTCTTCTGCTTTCAGAACCAACAGCTCGCCTCCCTCCAGTTCAGGATCTAGGATAATAACTTCCTTCTCTTGGGGAGGGCATGGAAAGCTTTAGGACCCCCAATCCTCCTCCCCAACCCCAACCTCCAGGGCATGTTATCTATACCATGGAATCCTTTCCAGCCTGCCCTTACTAGCTGGAGTTGAGTCCATGGCAGAGATAATACATCTCTTAGGCTCACTTAGGTACTCTCCGGTTCCTTCTCTTTTACTTCTTATCACAAGACTCTCTCAAGGCAATGAGTACAGGGGCCTCTACCTGATAAAGAGTAAGGCGAAAGAAAACAGAACTAAAGGGAGGAAAATAAAACCCAGAGATATCTCAAAATATTTCCTGGAAAGTTATAAAAATGCTGTGTTCCTGGGAGAGACACAGGCTAATTAGAAGACATTTTACAAGGCTTCTCAATAGGCTTCTGAAAGGGAATTAGGTTCTAGTGTTCTAAGCTATCTACTGAACATAATAAAATTATCTTCTCTCCTGCATCTAGAAGGATATTAGCCATGCACTCTCCTTGGGGGAATTGAGAACATACTTACTAAAACTAGCTCCCGAGGTGATTGCTTCTGTCTCTGAACTGATTGAGAAAGGCTGCAAGAATAATAACTGTGGTGCAGGCAACTGATGAGACCCTTAAGGGGGCGTACAAATCATAGCAAAAAACGCCTAGATGCTCCACCCCAGGAAGGTGGAGACAAGGAAGGTGTTCTCTGGCAGGCATGAGGTGAAAAGGCAGGAGTCCTGACTCCTGGAGAATGCGATAGTGCCGGTCCTGTAGATGCCGTGGCACTGTGGAGAGTAATAGCTTCCAATAGAGGAAACAGAAACAGAAGCATGGAAACTCTTTCAGCATCTGTGTTTGTGCTTGTCCTACTTGTTGTTTGAATGCCTTATAAATATATGAAAATATACTGAACCCCACATTGTGGCATGCTGGCCTGATGTCCTGCACCCTTTAAATAGAAGTATATAGATCGTGGTCAAGATTATAACGTGGAGAGGAAGTATGGTCAGACAGAGGCCCCAAGTTCATTAACTGTCTACTTCCAACACTTCTTTATCTTCAGATACTCAAGTTGACCATCCGTAAAAAGAAATGGTACTATTTACCTTTTAAGGTTGTGGGGAGATTTAAATAAGATAAAGGAAAGTGCCTAAGACAGTATCTGGTCTATAATAAGTGCTCAAAAAAATCGCAGGAATTATCACTTCTCTCGGTTTTATTTTAATTGCTTCATAATAAGACAGGTATATGCATTCTTTTAAGAAATGAAAAAATGAGAAACCAAAATTGTTTTATCTTTTCCTCCTTTCCAGCTTTTGGAAGACTACTCAGATGATAGGAACCAGTGGTAGAAAAAGAGAAATAAGATGAAAGGATTCATGACTTTTCTGGGAAGTATAAAAATCTATTTTGTGCCTCTTCCTGTTTATTTAGTTGCCAATCGATTGTTTTGTTTATCTATTTTGTTGTGTGATAAAATGTGACATGGGAGTAATTGTTTTTCTTGTGCGTGCATGCATGTAAGTATTTCTGTTTTGATGAAGTGCTGATGCTGTTTGATTCAGACTACCTTTAAATTTTTTAAAAAATCTATTTTCTTCTCAGTTCCTCTTGCATACACAAAGGCAGTAATAGAGTATCATTTAAATAATATGCTTTATAATATGGTTAGAACATAAAGTAGTTAAGAGAAACATTTTGGAGGTTGACTTAAAATACATTAACTTTAAATACATATACATCTGGTATAAAGAATGAATTTTACCAAATTGTATATTTTACCAAATATACAACACATACCAACACATATCATTTTGGGAAGATACGTATTCTAGTTTTAAAAATATTTTAGTTTGAGTTAGTTGTATTATGCCTTACATAATACTAATTAGACGCTGGCTCGGAACAATATGTTAGTCAAAAATTTTTGCTAGGTTCTCATGAAGTATCTGAAAGGCTGAAGAACTATGTAATTATGCTCACATTTAAAATTTTGAAAGAAACATCCCATGTGCTGCCTGATAGTGAAATTGTCCATAATGTTAAGGAGAAAGGATACGAAGATGCTGGGGACTGCTGGGTTCTGAATGGTCATACTCAGGCCTAATTTCTTAAATATTCAACTGAGCAGAATGATGCTCTATGATCCATAAGCTCTCCGTGCCTTGGTTTCTAATAAAACAAAATGCAGAGATCATCAATCTCATGAATTTTTTTGCTGTTGTTGTTTTTTAAATAAACTGAATGGAGATTCCTGTGTAGTAGACTATATCAAAATGCTGGTGTTAGAAGATAAGAAAAACTCCTGTCTTCTTTTTCTTTCAGCAGTTCACTGCTAGAAAAACTCCTATTGGGTATTTACTACTTATAGCTAACGGATTTATGGATTTTTTTTTTTTAATTGTACTTCTGTTTCTAGGGTACATGTGCAGATCATGCAGGATTGTTGCATAGGTACATACATGGCAAGGTGGCTTGCTGCATCCATCCTCCATCACCTATACCTGGCAGTTCTCCCCATGTTATCCCTCCCCATCCTCCCCCCCCACCATCCTTCCCTTGCCCCCCACAACTGACCCCGATGTGTGATGCTTCTCCCTGTGTCCATGTGTTCTCATTGTTCAACACCCCCCTGTGAGTGAGAACATGCGATGTTTGAATTTCTGTTCTTGTGTCAGTTTGCTGAGAATGATGTTTTCCAGATTCATCCATGTCCCTACAAAGGACATGAACTCATTGTTTTTTATGGCTGCATAGTATTCCATAGTGTATATGTGCCACATTTTCCTTGTCCAATGTATCATTGATAAGCATTTGGGTTGGTTCCAGGTCTTTGCTATTGTGAACATTGCTGCAATGAACATACATGTGCATGTATCTTTATAACAGAATGATTTATAATCCTTCGGGTATATATTCAGTAATGGAATTGCTGGGTCAAATGGTATTTCTCTTTCTAGATCCTTGAGGAATCACCACACTGTCTTCCACAATGGTTGAACTAATTTACACTCCCACTAACAGTGTAAAAGTGTTCCTATTTCTCCACATCCTCTCCAGCATCTGTTGTCTCCAGATTTTTTAATGATCGCCATTCTAACTGGCGTGAGATGGTATCTCAATGTGGTTTTGATTTGCATTTCTCTAATGACCAGTGCTGATGAGCATTTTTTCATATGTTTGTTGGTTTTATATGTGTCTTCTTTTGAAAAGTCTCTGTTCATATCCTTCACCCACTTTTGGATAGGTTTGTTTGTTTTTTCCTTGTAAATCTGTTTTAGTTCTTTGTAGATTCTGGATATTAGCTCTTTGTCAGATGGGTAGATTGCAAACATTTTTTCCCATTCTGTTGGTTGCTGGTTCACTCTAATGATTTTTTTTTTTTTTTTTTTTTTTTTT